GACTGACTGACTGACTGACTGACTGACTGACTGACTGACTGACTGATTGACTGACTGAATAACTGAATTTGTTAGTGAATGAAATAGTTGTCTGTTTGCAGTTATTAGTACATTCATTGGAGTAATGAACATAATTTCATCAAAATACTTCGAGGAAAGGGAACTCCCTAAAATCTGTGTCCTATGGGTACATTACTTTTCAACAACAGATCGCTTTGGCGTTTTTGTTACAATCGCGACAGTCCAACACGATCAAAGCATACTTACATGGAGTGAAATCTGTTCGTTGGCCTCATGATAATTGGCCGTGAGCACATCGAATTCGGCGTTCAACTCGCCCAATTCACGTTCGGTCTGTATGCGGGTTCATCGGGGTAGCGAGTACAGTTTGGGGTGGGATGGAGTGAAAATTAGGTGAAAATCACGCAGATAAAGATAGTGTTTCGAGACTAAGGAGAAACAAACAATAAGGTGAACCACACACTCACCGAACTAGTGTATCATATTATCAATCTGTTCCAAAAATAGAATGGAATAATGAAGTTTCTGATGAGATCCCAGTCACATCGCGACGAATCTCCGTCCGATTGGTATTCACACATTCAGCATTTCTTCGATTGGATTTATTCAGAAAACGATCAATCATCTTATGCGTTTGTCGCAAGTTTATGACAATGTCTTATAGTTAGTTATACAAGTCACCATTCTGGAAATAATGGAATGACCAAGCTTTTTTGCCCCGGTATAGGATTTTTTCCTCAGTGGACGAATCAATTCAAACGGTTCCAAGTCGGATTTGTCTTACTGATTGATTGGTCGCATCCTCTACTTGGCAGAAATGTGCCATCAACTCGACAACTAGCGTGCCAGTGTTTCTTGTGTGTGCCTGTTTTTGAGCGGACGGGCAGGTGGTTGAGATTTCCTCCATACGTATCAGAAAAAGCAAACAGTTTTTCACCCTTGTTGGTAATCGGAATGCGCTGGAGAATTTCCTATCACCTTTCACTGTTGAATTTGTATTCATTGTTCTAAGGTCGAATGTGTGCCACTGATCTGCAATCAAGTGGTTGTTATTTATCAAGTGGTTTGGCAACGTCGTCGTCTCAATGTTAGTTATTGTGTTGGAGTTAGAGCTCCAAACATTTATGCCAAACTAAGCTGGATTTCGTTTCTTCATGCAAGAAACATGTCACACATACGTACGCTCTACCAACTGAGTTACGAGACCACACCAATAACACTGATCTTTTCGTATTTGGATTATCCAAGCAATTGACAGAGACATCAGAAATCCACCCAGCAACATTTGAGCCTAAGTCCACGACAGGTCTTTGTTAGAATCCACCGGAGTCTACCGAATGAAATTCAAGGTGAATTTACTTGTTCAATTATTTTGTTTGACAGATTTAATTCTCATGTTTTGAATTGTTAAAAGTTCA